TAATTATTTATATTTATTATTATATAATATTAAAAATTTAAAATATTATAATATTTATAAAATTTTTAAATTTAAATAATTATTATAATTTATTTGGTTTTATTAAGTTTATTATAAATTATAAACGGTTAAGTATATTGTTTTAATTTACTTTATGTGCTAGGGTTGGGTCACCTGACCCGATCCATAGAAGTATGGGATGCGGAGTAGCTCACGCCACCAAGGTTCGATTTTTAAATATCGATCCTTTGAATTTAAATTAAAATCCCTAACGAAATAAATCAACTTTATACGTATAACACAACTGGCACCATCCGAGTATTTGCACCATGACCATATATCACATCGTTCAGATCAAATTCAAAGACCTCGTACCTCCGGATGAGGTCAGGGCTGTGAGAGGCCATGCCTTGAATAACAGAATACAGCACGTACGAACTAACAAGATTTAGGCATGCAGCGGGATGAATGCTCTACCGGAAATGTGTGTCCATCCTACGACACAGAAGAAATATATCAAATCGGTCGGGGGAGGAAAGGACAATAGTCCCGAGGGGCTTCAGGTTAGCCTGCTTCTATCCCAAAGTTGTTGTGGCGCTGCTCGCTGCTTCTGACGGGTTGCACATGACAGAATGGCATGACGCACGCCTTTGTCTACGGGTTCGAGAACGAGGATGACAGGAAGTATTATCTCGAGAAAGACCCGAAGCATATGGAGCTGGTTTCCAGCATCGAAGACATCGTCGAGAAAGTTCAGGTGGTCGATTTTACCCACGGCGTCTTCTGAGGGTCTCGTCTCCTTTCTCGTTTCTCGTCAAGGTTACTCGTGAACGAAAAGTTGGAGAAGATGGAGAAGACTCGATGACGTCGGTTTCGTCCCCAACTACGAAGGATCTGTAGGTAGATCTGTAGGTATTACCGTTTAGATTACAATAACACAACGACATGTTGAAAGGTAACCTTCGTTGAATGTTCGTGATGCAGCATCGTCATCCCATCAGCGTAGCCAATGATATTTGTTGTAATTTCACCCGAGAAACCGAGGTAAGGTGCATCTACGATGGACGTCTGGGAAGGGGAAAAGTGGAAATGCATCGACACTAGAGCCAATTAGGATTAATGGCAGCCCTACGTCATCCCCCACCTTAGCTGCACCTAAGTGTACCTAGATAATAGAAGGCTCGCCAAAGCAAACACGCCTCCGTCACCACGAGGTACAGTACAGTAGGTACCTAAAACATCAACTAAGAAGAACATTGAGAGCAACCGACAAGTCTTCATCCAAGGACTGGCAACATATTTCTTTTTTATTATTTCCTTCACTAAAAAAAAAAAGTGATAAACTGATGTGACGCGTCGTCAACAAAGAATTGTCCATTTCATCCTCTCCCCTCGATTGATTACCTGGATCAACATCAGTTCACGGCTTGTCTTCTTTTTTTTATTGCTATTCCATTTCCAATTCCATTTCTCTATTTACCCCCACCATTCTCATTCTCATTCACCTGTCACCGTTCACCATCAACCATCAACCATCGACCACCAACCACCTACCATTCCGCCATACACCATATACCACACAAATCATTCGCCATCGAACCATATTCCACTTGCTATCCGCCACACGTCTTAGATCCTAGTCTGGACACGCGCAAACCATACAGAAGAATCAGCTCCTGTCAAACCGCAACAACTAGCATCATCTTCTTTGGGCAACCAACAGTAGCAAAGATGGCGCAACAACAGGCAGCACCGATGTTCATCAACATCCCTCCCCCACCGTCCAATCCGGATACTCCGAGTGATATGCCGTATGTACTACTATCATTTCAATCACCACTTCATGAAATAGGCACTGACTAAAGGCATTATCATAGTGGCACTCCTACTAGCACTACTACTTCGCTCTCGGCCCTCTCTACCACCGCTATTAAAGATGGTCACCGAGGCAATGCCTTCCTCGGAGGGCCCCGAGGTCATCATCACCACGCTTCTACCAACAGCCTCGAAGCCGAGCGCGCCGACCGCATCAGCCGCCTAGCAGGACTCGAACGCGTCTCTACACTCCGCGCGCCTAACCAGAACCAGCACGGCAGCGGCAACGCGAACTCCCCTCAGACTACCCCCACACACAACAACCAGCAGACCCAAGCGCCCCTGACACCTGCATACTTCGATTCCAACGGTCAGCCTACCGCGATAACTAAGATGAGCACGGTCGGTACAGCCTCGGCGACAGGTAGTGTAGGCGCGAGGACCACCACCACCATGACCGAGGGCGAGCGCGACTACGACGACATGGACGCGGACCTAACCGAGGTCGACGAGGACGGGAGCATGAGCATGGACACTAACTATCGAGCCATGGACGTCGACTCTTCCTCGGGCGCCATGGACCCCATGGACGAGGACATATCGAGTCGCTCCGTCGGAGGTTTCGAGGACCGCATGAGCGACGACGGCTCCGCCAGCCTGGTCGGCTTCGGCGAGGGCGCCAACAGCACCGTCAGCGGCCCCATCTACCACCGCCGCCCCCTGCCCGGCACTACCGGTGCCACCGGCGTCTGGGTCATGGAGCGCAGTAGTTCTGGCCTGAGCCAAGAGGCCATCATGCGCAACCGCGAGATGCGCGAGGCCGGCACCGGCACCGGCAGCGACACCCCCGTCAGCGCCTCCGCCTCCGCCGCCGCCGAGACCCGCCAGGCCAAGTACACCGACGGCGTGGCCGTGGATGGCGGCGGCCACGTCGGCACCTCGGACGACGACGTCTTCGTCGACACCACCACCCGCGGCCCCGTCCCTGTTCCGGCTCAGCCCGGCCAGCCGCGCACCAGCGCGCTGAGAGAAGGCGTCGGCGGCCCCGCGTCTCGCGAAGCGGCCGAGCGCATCGTGCGCGAGCGCCTCGACGGCGGCGAGGCCACCCCCGCCCCCGTGCTCGGCAGCTCCCAGGACGGCGACAAGCTCGGCAAGTTCTACTTCGAGGAGAAGAAGTAGGACGCTTCCCCGGCGCACGCCTAGGCTCTTGGTTTGGCGGCGATCCTCTCTTGACGCGGGCGATTGCGTACGCCTGCCTTTGTTTGTCTGTCTGACTGTCATGTTTGCGTTTGCTTGTGTTTGTTTGTTGGTCTTTTTTTCTGTCTTGTTGGCCCCCGATCCTGGTAGGGCGGCTGTTTGGCGTACTGCGGAACTACAAAAATCCACTGCGATCGGCACGGGCAGTGGAGGGGCGGCGGCGAGAGTGTCTTGACGGACTCACTGACGGAATTTGATGTTGGCCGAAGCAAGAGAAGTGATGTGATGAGAGGGGGGTAAAGTGTCCATATACATCGACAAACGAACGGAACGAGCAAGTGAGTGAGTGAGCGTGTTAGGCTTGACTGGACTGGTCTGGTCTGGAATGGAGGAGAGGGCTGGCTTGGGCTGCTTTGATTAGAGCCGACCCCTACCTACTTGTATGTTATGCTACCGAGTACCTTACTCTTCCGCTTTGCGGTTACATCGACTCGGTGTTTGCCAGAAACCAATACGATTCTTTGCGCGCGGCTCGCGCACTTTTTTCTATGACTTGGAATCGTCTTCTAGGCTAGTCACTTGGTAGTTGATATGAGTGAGAGACTAAGTGCCTTAATGTTATTAAGGTGCGTATGGGTCTTTGGGGACTAATTACGACATGGCTATCCAGCGACTTGGTAGCCCAGGCAAGAACTTTTATAAGCTCAGCCACTGTTTTATGCGATGCTAGTTCATATGTGATGGTCGTAGATAGAGTTAGAGCATCTGTGGTGGTTTGGTTGGGGGTTTCAAAATATGAGGAGACTTACCGTGCAACACATTTAGAGTTACTCGTTACGATTTTCCGACTACACATCTATCAAGTATACTGCGACCAAAGGGTTAGGACACTAATCAATTCCATCGGGAGGGTACTCTTCTGATGCGGAACGGCTAAGCACAAGATTTCAGCGTAGCGTACGAGTTTCCTCCGCTCAACGCCTAACCGTACGGGATTATAACCGCTAGAGTTCCGTATACTCGGCTATGGAAAGACGATAATGTAGATAATTATGGACAGCAAAGGTAGGTAGGCATCTAGGTATATTTTGTGTTCTGTACGAAGAAAAGAATGGAAATAGGGATGAGGAGTAAAATGCCCGGGTACTTGAAAAATGATGGCCGGCGGCGAGATTCGAACTCGCACCTTTAAGGTCCCTTGGAGTTGAGGATCTTATGCTCTCCCATTGAGCTACACGGACCTAATGCTGCAACGTATTGCCAGATCTGTTACGTGACGATGTTCTTACTCACTGTCACATAACCTGATCCAAGTCATGGTGTACCTTTCCGGATTCCCGACTACGTGTACGTACCAACCACAGTAAGTATCGTGGTATAGTTCCACTGAAAGATCTGGTATGAGCTGTTGCATATTACTTTATTGTACTATTTACCTACCTAGGTATCTACTTATTTAAGTGAGTGATTTATGAACCCCTAATGAGCACTTTCCTTGCTACCATCTCTTCTACTAAAACTGACAGTGCCTTGATCACATATTTCAACAAGTCCGTGATGCTGTGCACAAAACTTGAAAAGAGTCAAAGGATATAAAAAAGAAATCTCTGCGGTGAGGTTCGAACTCGCAATCTTGATACCTCTTGAAGTCAAGGTAATCATGCCGAAGCCATTGAGCTACGCAGACCTAGAATCCATCTGTCGATGCCGATACTTCTACATGCTGTTATGAAGCTAGTCTGGGCAATCTGTAGGATGGTATGCCTATATCCAGGTTATCACGTACATTAAAGACATCTCAAAAAGGGCGATGTTTGCCCACTAGAGTCGAGAAAGAAACGCTAGAGGTAAAAGGGGAAGGGGGGACAATGTTCAAACTTGCACCCTTGAGATCTCTTACAGACTTACATAATAATTTTGCTCATCTCTTCAGACGCATTTCACATTGTTCATGATGCTAATATTACCCAGCGTTATATGGCCAATGCCGCGTTTCAATGTACATATGGATCCCTTCGAGATCCAAAAGGGGGGGCGTTTTAGCGCCTTTCACGTCCTAAACAACCCCACATGGCCTACGCAGGTACCAGAAGACAAGTCTGGATTCGACATCTACCTAATTTGTATGAGCCCCTAGGCAAATTTGGAAACTTCACGTAGGCGTAGAGGTACTAAAGGCGTGTACGTATGTATAATGATTTGCATATTGAGTGTAGAATCAACCCTGTCACAACGTGATCTTGTGTGCCCTTGTAAACATGCCCGCCCTGAACACTACGTACGCACAGGAGCGGTATCACAGTTGTCTAGTACGACTATATCTTGATTCTTTTCTGTCATATAACTGTCACTAAGAATATATGCCTAGATATTACCGCAGATTAATGTGGTGTGGGCCCACGCCTTTTGCGATAGTTATGAGCCCGGTTCGCGTTTAGCGCAACGGTATAATGCCACGATTACCCCCGACAGCCACGAAAAAGAGCCCCAGAGCTAGATTAGAACTAGCAGTAAGGCATTCTGACATACGAAAGATCATGTGACAGCCAGTAACCCTGCGAATTTGGGTTCGAATCGAGATGAGAGCGCTTAGAGATTGCCACCTAGCTGTTGAATCAGGATATTAGCCATTGGAACCAGAGAGTGCTCGCTGTTAGTTTCAGAGTAGGTGTGTGAATATAGAAGCTGCTTCGGTTCAGTTGATCACCTATGAGCATACATGTCGGCGATCAACTGGGGGTTGTGACATATACCTACCTAATATCACCGCAATTCAGTGTGGTGTGAGCCTACACCTTTTGCAAAAATGACAATATGAGATAGATGACTGAGAGAAGTAGATGGAAAATTAGTAGTATGGTCTGCAGCATTGTGAAACTCTTATCTGTAGTGTTTAAATTTCTCTCTTTTTTAACAAGAAAGAGAGGAAAAGAAAAAACATGAAAAAGAGAAAAGAGAAAGAAAAGGGGAGGCAATCATCAAGTCAAGATAGGAAGACACCAACGGAAATCTTCGTCACTCTAATACCCCCTCTAGCAAGAATCATGACAGTCCAGTATCCGTGCTTAATCTGTCGTGGAAGAATTCTGGATGCCGCATCCTAGCCGGCATTGAAGACGAAGACGGACCGGAGGTTTGACCATAAGTTCGTAACTCCGGCGGTCGCGGGCATACGTATACCTTAAAGTTAGGGTTAGGGTTAGGGTTATCCAGGAGACATCACAACAGAATCGAGCCTCATGCAATCAATTGTTCCAGCTCGCGGTCGTATCTCTATATCACCATGTAATTAGGCCACCGGCCCGCGTCAATTAATCTACCCCAGCGCCGGGCTTCGTGCCTCTTTTATCCTTAGTAGTACGAAGCTATCACGATAGTCACCCCTCCCGGCGGGCCGACCGCCGCAGAGACGCATACCCAGGTAGTCCCTTTACAACCCATAAAACCCGAAGAAATATGCATTATATTCGTCCTCTTATACAATTGTGATATCAACAAGTTTCGAGACGTCAATCTTGAACTGTGTCCGCCCAAAGTAGCCCTTGGCCTGGAAATCCTCCCCTTCCATCGCCCCGTGTAGGTAACAGTCTCCCACGAACTCGTATGTTGAGCTGTCACTAGATGCCGCCTCCTCTGAGGGCTGAGGATTTCTCTCTCCTTCTCCTTCACTTGCTCCTGCCTCCGCTCCTTCTTGTTGGCTGCGAGGTCGTAGGATATACGGGTAGAACCCACCCACGCAAGCCACTACTATATCCCCCTCCTGCACACCACCATCCGTACGTTTCCGGTTCCCGTCACTCAGTCCAGGAATCTCGCCCCTCATCGCCTTCGCAGCTACCTGTGCCGCAGCCGGGTCTCGCTCGTTCAAGTACTCCTGAAAACTCTGCATCATGCTCCGACTGATCGGATCGTTCATCAGCCGGCCCAGATCCGCATCCGCCGTTTCCGGCTTCGGCTCCTCGCCTAGCAAGCTGTTATCCGCCGCGACCACGTCCTCGACAGCCGTCATGCCGAACCGGCCTTCCTCCGTGCGGAAGAACCGCCGCCCCGCCGCGTACTTCTCGAGCAGCTCCTCGTACGGCGCGGCCTTGCCGCACTGCGGCACCATCGCCATGAGCTCGGGGGCGCTCTGCATCCGCGCCGCGTTCTCCGGCGTCTGCAGCTCGCTCACGGTGCTGCACCCCAGCGCGCCCAGGATCGATTCCTCCGCCAGGATGCTCGCGAAGTGCTCCGCCATGCCGGCCGCCGGCGCCGCGTTGTCCCGCAGCGACGCGGACGCGCCCCGGTCCCCGCCCGTGTTGAGCACGAGCGTGCGCCAGAAGCGGTCGGCCGTCTCGGCCGTCGGCGCCGAGGGCAGGTTCTTGAACTCGGCGTAGCACAGGCGCCGCGCGTTCCCCGCGTTGAAGACGGGCGAGACGTGGACGACGCGGTCGAGCGGGCGCGCCTGCGTGTGCAGCGCCAGCGTGCCGTCCGCCAGCGTAGACACGGTCAGCGGCTTCCGCGCGGACGGGGGCTGGATGTGGTCCCACCAGGCGCGCATGCCGGTGTTCGGGCTGCAGTGCGCGGAGCCCTTGGGCGCGCCGGCGCTGAAATCGGGCACCCAGGTCGGCAGGCCCTTGACGCGGCGCGCGCACGGCGGGCGCTCGCCATACCACAGCATAAGGTCCTGGCGCTCGAGCACGGTGTAGCGCGCGGCCTCTGTGAAGACCTCCTGCACGCTCTTGCCGTAGTCGATGGCGGGCAGCGCCTGCGCGCCGGCATTGTGGTACTGGAGACGCGCGGACGGCGTCGCGATGAGCAGCATGCTGAAGACGTTCTCGCGCGGGTCGGCCGGGTGGCAGTCGCGCGCGGTCTGGATCATGGGGAAGAGCTCGACGCTCTCGCTGAGACGCCGGCGGCGCTCGGCGATCTCGATGGAGTTGGCGATCTCGAAGCCGCGCTCGACGTGCGGCAGGAACGGGACCTGGAAGAACTTGGCCTGGTAGAAAGGCAGGGCGCGCGACGCGGCCACGTACGCGTGCCAGCGGATGTTGCTCCGCCCGCACACGACGACGGGCGCCCGCGCGAGCACGATGTCCGAGATGCTCTGCACGGACGTCCAGTAGCTGGCGCCGAAGACGTCGTAGATGACGGCCCAGTGCGCGAAGTCGAACGAGTGGAGGTCGTTGTACGGGCAGTCCATCAGCTTCTCCCGCAGCCCGGCCATCTGCTGCATGTTGACGCGGGTCAGGCTCTGGTCTGGGCCGATGCCGACCTGGCTGCAGGCCTCGGAGAAGCGCCGCCCCATCTCGTGGATCGTCTCGAATGCCTTGGCCGTGGCTTCTCCTTTGTCCTGGCCCAGCCAGCATAACGTGCGTTCTGCGTTCTCGAGCACATGCCGCTGCATGCTGGCCTGCGCGCTACGCTCCTCGATAGTGCGGCCTACTAGTAGGTCTGCCCAGAGCGTGCGCGGTCGCTCTTTCCGCCGGAACGTGCGAAGAGCACTGTCGAGGCTCTCGGAGATAGTCTGCTCTTCGCCGTTGACCAAGATCGTCACCGGATTGGATTTAGCAGCAGCAGCAGCTGAGCGGTCGTACGAGATGCACTCATAAGAAGTTTCCTTCAGAGGCGCCTCTGTGAGATTGAGCTCAATGGGAGCATCGCGATCAGCTGCAGGTTGTAGGACGGCTAGTCGAGCAGTTAAATTCTGCTGATTGAACAGCGATGAGAACGGGTTGCTGTTAGACATGGTGGTACGACGCCCTCGCGTTGTCCAAATCTGATTTGAAAAGGAGAAAACTCTTCGCGGCGCTGCTAAGCTTATTAGGAGTTGTGCCTTCTTTACGTGAAGTATTATTACCATTGTCCACGATACGAGCCTTAACTTGTCATTTTATAGGCATCAAGTCTCTACTAGATGTCATATCGAAGTAAGTAGGAGACATTGTTGCCTGTCGTTACTGCCTGCTACAAAGTGTTCCAACTCGTTTAAGAACTGATTACTTGTATGTAAAGGGTCGTTGTTAGTTGGAGTATCCGCATCTACGCCGCCCGCTAGCCCAACCCGGTCCGCAGCCTAGATTTAGAGTGATCTAATCTCGCTTGGGGGGCGTTGGCGATGCAAGGGCTAACGTTAGCGCATATCAGCAGGGCGCCGAGACCCCTTAGGTACTTTACAAACGCTGAATTGACTGAACGACCAACGTCGAGGTCGACAATACTACGATCAAAGTTTCCTACGATCAAAGTTTCGTGATGCAAT